TGTGTGTGTGTGTGTGTGTGTGTGTGTGTGTGTGTGTGTGTGTGTGTGTGTATGTGTGTGTGTGTAGATAGATATAGATGAGGCCCAACTTGTATGGACCATATGATAGGGTAGGGGAGAAACCCATGAAGGAAGGAGAGCAGTGCAGGGAGTGGCCAGCAGGTGCTGTGAAGACAAGAGAACAGGGCTGCTCTATTTGAAAAGGAAGTCAGGGAACTGGGCTTGTAAGAAACCTCTTGTAACCTTTTTAAACATTGCTCAGTCCACACAACACAGGCCTATGGGTCGCACTTCATCGTTGGACCCCTGACAGCATTTGTAAAATTATGGGACTGTCTTCATGAGTAGAGCAGATGCCACCCAATGATGCCCACATGGGGGCATCATTTCTGAGCAGTGTCCCATGATCTGCTGGAGAACTGCTAGCTTCTGGGATGCCTTGCAACCTGCTAGGCATTGCAGAAGCACCAGGATTGCAGGCTGAGGGAGAAGGATCACAAATCCAAGGCCATCTTGACTCAGTAATACCCAACCACCCATAAAAAGAAGCTGGGCCTGGTGTAATTCCAGCACACAGGAGGCTGAGACAGGAGCTGTGAGTTCAAGGCCAGCCTGGGCTACAAAATGAGATCCTGTCTCAAAAAAAGAAACAGGAAATAAGAAAAGCCTCCAGAAGCAGCGGACTCATTTGAAAGTTCAGACTTCACAGTACAAATGAACTTTGAGACATCAGCATCCAACGAGCATTCGCTTGTTAGAGGCGATAATAGTGTTTGGTTAAATAGAAAAATGTTCCTAATTTTCAAGAAATACACATTAATTATTTAACAATGAAATGTCATGCGGCTATAATTACTTATCTTTTATATATTATTTCATTTTTGATATAGAGTCTCATGTAGCACAGGCTGGCCTCAAACTTTCTGTGTACCTAAGGCTGACCTTGAACTTCTGATTCTCCTGCCTCTACCTTCCAGTGTTGGGATCACAGGCCTGTGCATCACACGTCACTGCTTTAACACACCTTTATATGGACTAGGGAGATACAGTTCAGTGGTCAAGCACTTGCCTAGCATGAAGCCCTGAGTTCAGACCCCAGTTCCCGCCCCTGCCCCCGTCTCTCTCCCTCGCATGCATGTACACATGCACCAAAACACCCCTAGTAAAAAGATAAAAATGACAAAGCAAGTACAAACAAGGGGTTATGGGGACATGTGAGAATTTTCTCTGTTTGCACATATTTAATTTTTTATAATATAGTAAAAATGTGACCATTTACAGAAAAGACCTCAGCCCTCTCTGAGTTGCCCTGTGAACAATCTCCTTTGCCCCCCACTCCATCACATCCTGCTCTGTGGTATGGGGAGATTTAGGCTGAGGGCCAGGAGGAAAGCTGTTGGCAGTAATTCCATGGTTGAGGCTGGAGCCCAGGCAGCCTGCCTCATTGAGGTGACACTAGTTGGCTTCTGCTAAAGCTGAGGAGGAAGTGGAATGTCTGTGAATTGAAAACTGGTGCCAGCTGGTGAGAGGAAACCAGAGTACTTTTTTTCTGTAGGTTGGAAGTGGTCTTCTGAGCAGGGAGTGTGCTGAAATTACTCCTTGAAGAACTGAGTCTGTGCTCAGCTGCCACCTTGCTTAGGGCCTTTGGCTAGTTCTTTTTCTGAAACCTCTTACCAGTCTCTGTGATGCATTGTGCACAGGGCATGAGGAAGACTTGACATGTGCTGTTGATCATTTTGAACAGCTCAGGTTTGAACTGCTCAGCAGGAGCTGAAGAGTTATACCAGTCTGTAAAGTACTTGTCATGTAAGCATGAGAACCTGAGTTCAATCCCTCATACCCACATTAAAAGAACAAGTAGAAGAAAATAATCTTTATTCTTTAAAAAACAAACAAACAAACCTGGGCATGGTAGCACATGCTTGTAATCCCAGCACTGGGGAGGCAGAGTCAGGAGGATTAGGAGACCCTGTCTTAAAAAAACAAGGTGGACAGTACCTCTGGAGGAACAACTACCAAGGTTGCTCACTGGCCTCTCATGGTCATACACATGTACCAGCCCATTCACTTACTCACATACACTGTTTGACAGTTGAGGTTGCTGTGGATTGGATTTTCTTCAAGCAGGACATAGTGTGGGTTTCCAGGCACTGACTCTTGTCAGGAATAGGTGCTAGGAAAGAATTTGGGGTTGCTCCAGGTGAGACCCTTACGTCTACCAAGTTGCTGCTGCCTGTGGAACCAGGGTAAGAGGGGTACGAGTCAGCTGACATAGTGGCAGGCTCGGCTGATGGCGGAATTGTCCGGCCCCGACTCTGAGCATTCACCTGTGGCTCATTGCAACCCCAGGGGCACCAGCAAGGCGCCATCTCTAACTTCTTGTGATTACAGTGTCCTGAACATGCTCATCTAAGTCCAGAATGTTCTCCTGGTTCCTTCCAGGGCTGATTAGCTCCTTCCTCATCTTCTAGCTGAAAAGCCTCTTGAGCTGGCCTTGAGGGTTTCTCATGCAAATTAAGAACCAGGCCTGAGTAGCTCTATTCAGGGTTCATGGGGCACATTAGCCCCTTCCCAAGGAGGAATGTCTAATCACTTAATGAGGGTTTAAGCTTGGAGACCAAGGAACAGAATTAGGCATCCAGATCCAGTGAGCACAGGCCATGTAGCTTCAGCTTAGGCTGGAGGAGTCTCTCCCATGTTGATCCCACCAGGCTATAGAAGATTTTTGAATTGGACTGGGCCTGAACTGATAGTGATGGAGCAGCCCACAGCACTAGAAAAAGGTCCCCGCTGAGGTAGCTTATCAGTATAGCTTTGGGCTGACTTTGTAGTGGCCCTGAGGGGTCCCTGCTGGCAGGCGATTCCCTCCTTCCTCCTGGAAGAGGCTTGCAGAACACACAAGATCTAGTGAAACTGGAATTTCAAACAAACAGTAATTTCTTAGTCTAAGCCTATCTCAGTACTTTAAGACCAGCCTTTTCCACTATAGGATGGACTTTTGCTGAAAATGTTATTATGTCTGCAGTTATCTGTGTCTTCTCTTCCTAATGCCAACCCGTGTGAGAGTTCTGTTTTGGAGAACAGGGCACAAGGAGGGTTGTCTAGGTGCCATGTGAACACGTGACCTCATTGGACAGATTGTCTGAGCCCCTGCTGAGATGGCTGTGTGCTGGCTCAGGGAGCAAAGTGCTCACCCTCATGGTCTCCTGGGTGAAGGGTGGAGCTCTGCTCTAGGCCCCAGTTTCTTCAGTTGTTATGTATGATCCGTTAGACTCTGTTCATGTTCCTGTGAGGCTAGACTGTCCCTGCTCCCCCATGGCCTTCTTTCCTCTCTTCACTGAGCCACCGCTTGCTCTTTTGCCCAGAGTACCACCTTCTCAGAGGAAGTCTTTGATAGTACCCACATTGCCCACACTTCTTTGTCATGAGCCAAGCCTCACCTGGAAAGAGGTGTGCAGGGAGGAGGCTGGGAGTGTCAGTGTGGGGCAGCAGATCATTACACAGGCCCCAAGCAATGCCTGCATCATGCATAGGCCAGAGGTCTGGGGAGCTGGTCTTGTCTATGAAGGCCAGACAGACACAGGATAGAGTAAGGCTGGGAAGAGAGGGGTACAGAGCCTCTGTGCACCTCTCCAGTGGTGGTGACTGACCTGGACACTGTTCCTGACTTCAGGACTGTGCTTAATAACAACAGTGTCACAAGCCTGTAGGTAGCTGCTGTAATACATGTGAAGCTGTGGAGAGCAGTCAGTTGCACATGTCAGTATCCTCTGGATAATGTTTTTATTGAGTCCCACCTTCCTGTGGGAAGTGCTGAGGATGGAACCCAGGGTCTTGTACTTGCTAGGCAAGTGCTACCACTGAACTGCACTCAAGCCCCTCTGGCTGGTGCCAACTGATGGGTGCATGTTGCTTGGGGTCTTTCCTGAGCTGATGACACAAGCATACCAAGCACAAAACTGTGTTCTCAGGATGCCAAGTTCGTGGAGGAACGACGGAAGCAGCTCCAGAGTTACCTGCGCAGCATCATGAATAAGGTCATCCAGATGGTGCCCGAGTTTGCCGCCAACCCCAAGAAGGAGACCCTGGTGCAACTGGTGCCCTTTTTTGTGTGAGTACTTGTCATGTGGGTATGCTCTTGGGCATTGAGCTCTGCTTTCTTTGCACCTTTGGATATTAGGGAGTCCCTGGCTTTATGCCCTATCCTGGATGCTGTGGAGCCAGGGGGGCCCTTGGAAGCTGCTGAAATGGAAGTCCACCTTGTGTTCTGGAGACCTGGTGTCTGTGAACTGTGCTTTACACGTAGGTAGATCTAAAAAAAAAATTGTTCTATTTATTTGTGTATTTGTGTGTGTGCACATGCCATAGACTACATATGGAAGTCAGAGAACAGCTTGTAGGAGTTCTCTCCCTCCACTATGTGAGTCCCAGAGATCAAACTCAGGCTATCTGGCTTGAGAGCAAGTGTCCTTACCCAATAAGCTATTTTGCTGACCCCCACATGGGTAGAACTTGATCAAAGGAAAGATACTTTTTTTTTTTCTTTTTTGGTTAGGTTCTTGAGGTATCCCAAAACTGAAATGGTCTGTATTGGTGTTTCCTAAGTTAGAGTGATAGACCCAAGGCAACACTCTTCACTCCCACCTCTGCAAACTTTAAACACACATACACCCACATACATATACATACAAGCACACAGAGACACACACACCCCCTCATACAGACAAAAACAAATACATAGACATACATATACACATATAACCACACATAGACACCCACGCATATACAGGCATACACATATACACATAAAGACCCATACAAGCTCAAATACACAGACACACAAATACGCTGAGACATATACACAGACACATCTGGGCTAAAGAAATAAATCCTTTAAGCCAGACTGGTGGTGCAAACCTTTAATCCCAGCACTTGGAAGGCAGAGGCAGGTGGCTCTCTCAGTGAGAGACACACACACCCCCTCATACAGACAAAAACAAATACATAGACATACAGATACACATATAACCACACATAGACACCCATACAAGCTCAAATACACAGACACACAAATACGCTATACACAGACTACACATATAACCACACATAGACACCCACGCATATACAGGCATACACATATACACATAAAGACCCATACAAGCTCAAATACACAGACACACAAATACGCTGAGACATATACACAGACACATCTGGGCTAAAGAAATAAATCCTTTAAGCCAGACTGGTGGTGCAAACCTTTAATCCCAGCACTTGGAAGGCAGAGGCAGGTGGCTCTCTCAGTGAGTTCAAGGCTACTGGTCTACATAGCAAGTTTCAGGCCAGATGTAGCTACAGGGAAACCTGTCTCAAAAAAAAAACCAAAGGAAAGACATCCTTTAAAGCATTACCATTATGCATCCTCACAGATGGCCCTTGCTTCTTTCAAATGTTTACTGGGGATCATACAGGTCCCCTCTAGTGTGTACTCATGGATGCATCTCCTGAGACAGCACTTTGTTACATGGGCCTGGCTGCACCCTGGCTTATCTGCTTTTCCTAGGATGTTAGGTGGGCTCTGTGTTATTTGGTGGAATCATACAAAGTTGCCTTAAAATACCAATCCCACAAGGCTTTGTAACCGCAGACTATAATTATCTACACAAAATATTTTTTAATACTTTAATTTTACTTTATGTGTATGAGTGTATTACCTGCATGTAAGTCCACCCATGTCCTGCAGTGCCCGTGGGTGTCAAAAGAGGGCATCTGATTTTCCTGGCACTGGAGTTACAGATGATTGTTAACCACCATGTGAGTGCTGGGATTCAAACCTGGGTCCTCTGCAAGAGCAGCCAGTGTGGCCATCTCTCCAGCTCCATACAAAAAATATTTTATGCTACAGATGAGGAAAGTGAGACCCAGAGTGGACACCCAACTGACCCCAGGGCCCCTTCCAGAATGTGGGTATCCTGGGCAGTACAGTGTTGTCACCCACCATTTTGAACACAGAAAACCCACAAACTGTGGATTGAATCCCCATTTTTGATATGGCCAGACAATGAGGTTTTCTCGTTTTTCTTAAATGAAGTAGTCATTATAAAACAACTAAATGGTATCAAATTTAAATGTTTTTTAATTTTTAAATTTTTTGTGACCATCATAAATATGGTCTTCGTACCATTTCCATCCTTCGCAGCTCCCCCCAACTCCTCAATTTCCTGTCCCCTTCCTCATTTTATTAAAATGGAGATGCTAGCCTTCTCTTGAACATAAGATTAGTCTCACTCTGTTCCCACCCCACTGCACTTGGCTTTGGCCATCAGGGGCCCTGTGCCCTGGGACCTGTTGTCTCCTAGATACTAATCCAGCCGGTTTCTCACATGCTCATAAGTATCACATACTCACAGGTCCTGCCTGGCTCTATAGATGCCTAAGGTGAGGCCCAGGCTTGTGGCCACTGTGCTTAGGGTCCCTCCATATAGGTGTACTTGAGACACCATGTACGATTGTCACCCAGGCTTCATTTGCTGGTGTTCTATGCCGTCTGTCTGTTCTGAGAGCCAGGTCCTGTTAACTTCCTATGCTGGTGTCTCATCCCTTCGGGTGGGGGGTCAGGGCAGATCAGAACTGCTGGGAGGAATTGGCTGGTGGGTATCCTCCTTAGACTCCTGGAAGCTCTCTGGCTATGCAGTCTTAGGTCCTGCTGGCACAGGCATTTTTGCAGTTATCAGTACTGTGGTGAAGCCTGCCATCCCCTTTATCAGTACTGTGGTGAAGCCTGCCATCCCCTTAGATCTGAATGAAGAATCAGCAGGTCCACCTCTCAGCCTCTGTTCCTTTCCTTGCCAGTGCCTCCAGCAGCTCTGACGCAGAAACTAGGACAGTGGGTTTCTTCTCCATTTTGGACTCTGTCAGTGTGGCACATGGGGGTGTCAGAGTCTGCCCCCAAGTAGGGAACCAGAAGGATAGCAGTCCCAACACCCTCCTCTCTAGCAGGGTCACATTGTGTTCTCCTGCAGCTTGTGAGCAAGGTAGACCCCGAGGACTGTAGCCTGCTACAGAGGCTTTCTCAGATCCCGAGGGAAAGTTGGATGCCGCTAATGAGGGGAGCCTGGGCTCTGAGAATTCACTCTGAACTGGACGCACATGAGGTGGCTTCAATGATTTGCTGGGCTGTCATTTAACATGTCATTAAATAATTTTCTGCAGAGTAATTCGTCCCTAGGAAACTGCCATGCCCTAGGAGGTGGAGTGTGAGATGGACCAAAGGCAGAATAATGTAGGTCACAATACAGATTTCCAAGTGGTTTAGCAGAACCTCTTCCCACCTCCCCCACCACTGCTGCCGTTACTCTGAACACTGTTAAATATAGTTTCTGCTGAAATGAGAAGAGCTTCGTTCTCCCAGAGAGCAGTTAAGTTTAGCCCAGGGATGCAGTGGCCTGCCCCATGTCCTGCCCAGACTCACTTGAACGCACTTTAAGCTTTCGCCTCGAAAGGCATTGCTAGCAGGAAGGATGCAGTGCCCCCTCAGAACCTTCTAGCTTGAATTGCTTTGGTGGACTGTCAAGAACCTTCTAGGCTCCATAGTCCCCAGCACTGCCCAGTGACTGGAAAGGGCAATGATGCAATTCAGGATGTCACCACAGTGCAAACCACATAGCTAGGAGTAGACAGGGTCTGAAAATAAGGGTAATTATTAATACTTGTGGGTGAGGGGTATGTGCCAGGGTAGGCACTGTCCTGCTGGACTCTTGGCTTCTATCTGCTATGTCCTGGTGCCCATTAGCTGCCCAAGGAGCTCCTGTTTGGCCTGGGGCAGGAGGCAGCCTCTGTCCTCAGGTCTCTGTTTAGTCAAGTCTGCTGGATAGAGGCACTGGGCTAAGTGCAAGGTTGTAAGCCCCCGACTGAGCCCTCCAGTGCCACTGTGTTGCAAGGCAGTGCTCATTTATCTCCTCCCTTCCTTCTTCCATCCCTCATGCTGCACCTGCATATCCTTTCCCTCCCCTCACACATGTACTCAGTATTCCTTTGCAGAGTGTTGAGTCCAAAAGCACAGTGTGCAGAATTGTATTCCAGCTCCATCATGGTGCAAGAAAGTCACTTAAGGTCCTCCAGGCCCCAGTGCCATAATCTGTTCAATGCAGACAGTGATAGTACCTACCTCGCAGAGTGGTCACATGAGCATATAAGCACCGAGCTCTGAGAACATTAACACAGGCACAATAAGCACCATGTGTATGTTCACACATGCACATGTAGCCTTTCCACCAGCATACAGGGAACTGGGAGACAGACATCCTGGAGCAAGTGGTAGTCTTTTGGCATCGAGAAAACCTGAAGTCCTGAACAGGAGGTGAACAGCCCCCTCACTGCACACTCCCTGGAATCCCTGCCTGACTCCTTGTAAATGTGCAGAGATCCTAGCTTAGATCCAAGCTCTATGTTTTTCTGCTGTCTGCCCTTTTAAGTTGAAGTCTCTCTGTAATGGCCATTTCAGAGCTTATTTTACCATTGCCCTAAGTGAACATGAAGGGGTTTCCATATCCTGCAGGTGACTCTGTAGGATGTGTTTCCATTCTGGCTCAGGGGACCTGTGTGGTGTTGGTTTGGACTGATATCACAGAGCCCACTTCTTCCACCAGTTCATTAAGTAGGATTTCGACAGGTGCAAAAGGGACAGCCATTCTTTCCAGATGTGCAAAAAGGCTGCAAAGTGCAGGGACCTCCACATCTGCTACTGTGATGAACAGACATATGCTCTGTAATCGGGCTGTGTGGGATACCGATGGCCTCTGGTCTTGACAGTGTGTCGGCCTTGGTCTCTGAACACAGTGCTGACAGCAGGGTGGAGAGTGGATGAATGGAGCACAGTGCAGGAGTACTTCATGGCAGCACAGACTAGGGAGGACAGCTTGGACTATAGTGGCCAGGAGGAAAGGGGAACACAGGTTCCCAAGACCCTCTGAAAGGGGAGGAAAGGCACCTGCAAGTTTCTTGAATATCTGAGAGCCAGGTATGTGCAGCACTGTCACTCAGTCAGCCTCAGCAGGCAGCAAGGTGGGCTGAGTAGGTGACAGGACAGCTAGCCGAGGGGTTGCCAGGGGGCAC